GACCTACGTACATCTCTGACTAACAACATGAAAATAACAATAGGACAGTAGTACTTAATAAACAACTGAATAGAGATGTGATCATATTTTGTAAAAGGGTATTTGTATTTAATCAGATTTTAAAATATATATATATTTTTACTACTTGATGAAACTAACTGTCGATAATATTCACCTAAGCTACAGAAAAAATTCTCATCATTGAAAGACACATGGATTCTACACACTAATCCTAACTTACTCCAAAAAAAGAGCTCTATTTATTTATTGAAGAAAATTACTGTTTAGCCGATTATATATAACAGAAATGTAACATATATATATATATATATATATATATATATATATATATATATATATATATATATATATATATATTTATATATATATATATCGTCTACGAAGAATACAAAAACTCATCTAAAAAATGGCCACATTCTTTATTAAGCTATCGGTATCCTGTCATTCAATATTAAATTTTTGTAACATACAGAAATAGAAAGCAATTCTAGTGAGAGAACGGTTCAAATTTAAACGCAGCTGGAAATGTATCTGGCCATTGATAACTGAGTCACGAATTTCGAAACTACTAATGTGTTCTATTTGAATTCGTTTAGCTGTACTTTTTTTTATCTCTGTTGTAGGCTGCTAGTTTTGAAAGGGTTTTATATGAATCTATGATGACATTAATGTCATCGTGTTAGTCACGTGATGGTGACATATTCAATGATGACATCGATGGATTAGATGTCAGTCTTTATTTGTCATTGTCTATTTGCGGTAAACCAATCAAGGAAACTTAATCGAAGATCGGTAAAAAATAAATTGATAAATATAATTTTAAAAAATTCACAAGCTGATTACAGTTATCATGTTAGGCTACACGTACCATTGTGTGAAGGAGGTGGGGTGGGAGGGGAGTGGGGTGGGGTGGAGTGTGATGGGGATTTCATGGCGGGATAGTGTCTGCTGGTGTAGAAAACTGATTAGATGACGGAGTAATCAAGTCTAGAGTTAATTATCAGCTAGATTCTTTTGTCGCGTATATTGCGTTAAAATCGTTTTCTGCAGAAGACCTAACGTCGAAGCATCCACTGTCTCTTCATTGTGTTTTCGGTTTATTGGTTTGTAATATATATATATATACATATATATATATATATATATATATATATATATATATGTATATATATATATATATACACATATATTGTATCTTTAAATATATATATATATATATATATATATATATATATATATATATATATATATATATATATATATATATGTATATATAGTTTTAAAGATACACACATACATACACTCATCCAGTACCCCCTACCTATCCAGTAAATACCCCCACCTATCCAGTAAATACCCCTACCTATCCGGTAAATACCACTACCTATCCGGTAAATACCCCTACCTATCCAGTAAATACCCCTATCTATCCAGTAAATACCCCTATCTATCCAGTAAATACCCCTACCTATCCAGTAAATACCCCTACCTATCCGGTAAATACCCCTATCTATCCGGTAAATACCCCTATCTATCCGGTAAATACCACTACCTATCCAGTAAATACCCCTACCTATCCGGTAAATACCCCTACCTATCCAGCGAACACCCCTATCTATCCAGTAAATACCACTACCTATCCAGTAAATACCCCTACCTATATGGTAAATACCCCTACCTATATGGTAAATACCCCTACCTATCCAGGAAATACCCCTTCTAGCCAGGAAATACCCCTACCTATTCAGCTTATAACCCCTATCTATCCAGTAAATATTCCCACATATCCAGTAAATACCTACACTATCCAGCGAATACCCCCTACCTATCCAGCGAATACCTCTACCTATCACATTGCTAAAATCACCTGACTCCGTAACGATCGCCACGACAATAGAACAATGCAGAAAAAAAAAGTTCTGAATAAAACATGTCCTACCCGATAGCCAAAACAGTAAAGACATTTCCGAGTGTTTTGTTACAGAAATAATTATTGTATCTTTTCTCTTTCGCCGTTTTGGTTTTTGTTTTGTTCGTACGGGTTTTGTTTCGTTTTTTTTGTCTTCTAATTATTAATATTTTACTCAAGTGATTTGTGTTCGCATTGAAGCAGATCTAATGGGTTCTGATGTATTTTTTGTGTGAGAAATGTTGTTTAGCTTTATCTAACAGCTGATCAACGAAGCCTTAAAAAATTATAATTTATGATATATTTCTTTCTCTTTGTGTAAGGCGTAGGGGGGAGGGATAATATTATCAATAGTGTCATTCACAAGTCATTTTTTGCATTGATCCATAACTTATCTTAAATGAATCATTCTCGCTCTGCTAAAAGTAGACGTCCATTCTCGGCATAACACCCCCCCCCCCCCCACATACACAAACAGAAAAAGCAGCTTTCATCCTTTACAAATTAAGACTCCATCTATCATGGTAACTAGTCTTCGTCACCCACTGTAAAAAATAAAAAGCAAAAAAAAAAAAAAAACCTTCGCACTTTATCCGCGTGTCATTAAGCAATTCGTCGTCGAGGCTATTTGATTTGCAATTTGCCAACCAACGAGTGATTTGCGTGCCACGTCACGCGTATTTGCGCACTCAACTCTGACCCTTTTTTCCGGCGATCATTTCTTCCTTACGCTTATTCACACTTGGTTTGCGCGATGGTCAGCAAGGGACTTAACTCCGGACTATCGCTGGTTAACACATTGTGCATGTCTTTTGATGCAGTCACGCCTAAAAGCAGTCAAGCAATTTTAAACAGAGATAAATTATTCGTCTTTTTACAGATATCACGAACAATCTTCGTTGTAAACGTGGTAAAAATGCTAATTGACTATGAAGAGAAAAGACGCCTTATACCATCGTCACGAAAACAGTTTTAATTATAATTAGCGTTAGTATAAAAGGGCCAACACCACAATGTGTTTGAGAATAAACGATTGTTTTTTTTAAAGGTTCAAAGAGAGTACATTTTAAACACCTTGAAATAAAGGCACTGAATTTAATTTCGGTTGGTTATGGGTGTATCTACAGTTTTTAATTGTCTACAGCTAGGCAGACATTTGTAAGCAAAATAGAAACAGCTATCACATTACGGAGATGTGTTGTGTTTAGGTTACTTCCCTTGAAAATTATGGTGTTTATTGTGTACAATGTTCCCGGACTGGATCTAGAGTTAATTTGTATGTTAAGGTTTAGATTATTGGATGTCTAAATTGTGGTATGGGTTAGGGGTAAGACAAAGACATTAAAAATATTTGGTTTAGTTTATGTTCGAATTGTAGGCTATTTGTATAGTGAGGACTGTATGTTTCTGATCAGGTTAAGATTAGCACTAGCAACATTCACGTGGAACTCTTATAGGACAGAAGGTGAAGCAGTTTCTCCTTATCTAGTGTACTCGGTTTCGGGCGATTCATTTAAGTTAAAGCCACGACATTCCGGCCTCTTCTGCTTTATACTGATCTTTTCCGTTTGTTTTTACCTACCCACTTTACTTGTTCAGTAAAGATTACAATCTAAAGCTGTTTTGGTGATTTTGTTTGTTAAGATTTATACTTAGGTATAAATTTTGATGTTTTGATGTTCAAGGCTAGCTGAATGTTTCGTTTAGATTTCCGTTACCGTTTTTAGTTTTTTGTTTGAGCTTTTTTGCTCATGTTTAGCTTCAAATGATAAAAGTACGAAGGTTTTATATACGTTTTGTTAAGCTCTAGTTGGGGCGAATGAAAGCTAAGATTAGTTAAGTAAAAAGTTCTTTTACAGCGTGTAGGATGAATTTTAATTAGATAACTGACAGCTAAATATCAAGTTTAGTGTTTGAGTTATTTTAAATTCAATTTTCGCTGTCTAATTAAGACATTAGTACTGTTTTACTTTTTTAATTAACATCTTATTTTTTATTTATCTCAGAAATATTTTATTTTATAGAAAGGACATTAAGCGTGTACTTAATTTTCAGCATTTTATAAAGCATGGAACAATAGTCTTTAAGAACAATAATCCCCTATACCGACCTAACCACTTTACAGTCGTAATATTTGAATACCTCACGGAAAGTTAGCTCCCATATAGAAAACTCTTTGGCAAACTATCTCAACGAACTATACTCAACAAAAAGGCATTACGATTGTGCCGCATTATGATTGACTCCTCACACATACACATACACACGCGCGCACGCACATACACATACACAAACACATACACACACAAACACAGAGAAATATACAGACACGAACGAACGCGCGCACGCACACACACACACACACACACACATATATATATATATATATATATATATATATATATATATATATATATATATATATATATATATATATATATATATATATATATATATATATATATATATATATATATATATATATACATATTTATATATATATATATATATATATATATATATATATATATATATATATATATATACATATATATATATATATATATCTATACTTCATAGAACCCCCACACCTTACCCTAACACAATCACACATTTTCAACATTTCCGATCCCACCCCACACACAGCACCCCCTCGCAATCACGATCTCATCCCCTCACCCACTCTACCCCTGCCCACAACCTTAAACCCAAACACACAATGAAGAGCACTAACGCGCTTTTAACACACCGTTAAAACCACCATTCACTAAAATCACTTTATCTCAACACCCAAGTCGTGTTTACTTGACTTTACAGGCTAGAATGTATACCAGCAAGACAAAAGCGAAAAAAAAAAGGAAAGTTTGTTGAAGAGGAAAAAAAACAACAAACTACAAGCAAACAAAAGCTTCGAACAAAAATGTTTGTTTTTCTGATGAAGCAATGGATAAATTACTTCGTGATCCCGCTCCACTTTTTTTTAGTCAACGGAAAATTAATTAGTGTTTTAAAAGTTAATTATTAGCGTTGCCGTTGTATCGTTAGCCTTCTTTATTTAGGTGTAAATAATTTAGGGTGTAAAAATATCTCTGACGGATTCTCTTATACTACAATCATCGTCTTGGTTATCTCTGTCTTCGTCTTTGTGGTCATCTTCATCATTATCTTCGTTATGGTCACCATCATTATCATCATCATAATCATTATCATCATAATTCTCATCATCATCATCATCATCATTATCATCATCATCATCATCATCAGCAGCAGCAGCAGCAGCAGCAGCAACAGCATCATCATCAGCAGCAGCAGCAACAGAATCATCATCATCATCAGCATCATCATAATCATCATCATCAGCAGCAGCAACATCATCATCATCATCATCATTATCATCAGCAGCAGCAGCAGCATCATCATAATCAACTTCATTATTATCATCATTATCATCCTCTTCATAAGCATCAGCATCACCATCATCACCATCACTCATCATTCTCATCATCATCTTCTTCATCATTTTCATCATCACTCATCATTATCACTCATAATCACCATCATAATCAATCGTCATAAATCATTATCATCATCATCATTCTTGTCGACACACTGTGAAGCAAACGTCCGCACCCACACATCTCCATCCTATCCGTCCTATTCAATTTTGGGTGATTCTTCCAAGTTGGGTCCACGACATTCCAGGAGCTTCTGCTTCACTGACAACTGATCTTTTCCCAGTTTGTTTTAGCCTACCTAATTGCCTCTTTCTTTGGCAATTGAATGCTGATACCTGTGTTTTGACTGCACTCGATGACAGAAATCTATAAATCATCTTACTTGTTAATGAAGCACAAATACGTAAGCGTTCGAAAGGTTGAATAGGGGTCGGCGTAGTCGAGTCAGTAAAGCTCATGGTTGCCAACCCAAAAAGTCGGTACCCTCTCCAACACTACAATCATGAACGAAGAAGAAGAAGAAAAGTTGAACGCAAGACTGCTCACTCGAAATTCATATGTTTGTATCCCGAATTCAATTTTGTAAGACACCCCTAAGTCAGTCACCTCTGATTGTATGTAACTCACGTCCGTGAAAGTAACGGCGACTGAGCTTAGTATTAACCTTACTATCACTTTGTAAGATAAGTCTCCTAAACAGGTGAACTCTATCATGTTAAAAAAGGTAATCTCACTCCGTGGAGGCAATTTACAATTTATTTTTATCTAAATAGCTTAATACTATAATTTTTGCAAAGGTAATATTGTATTTAAAATAATTTTTGCAAAGGTATTATTGTATTTAAACTTTGATTATAATTAGTCAGTTGATACCTCTTGGTTTATGATTAAAAAATACATAATGAAAACTCTAATGCGCAATTTTTATTTCAGTTGTCTCAACATGCCGATAATACATCCTTAAAAATCCACTTGTAATTGATCGAATTACCCGCTTTTTTAAATTTTTGTTGCTTCCTAGCTAAATATTGAGTTCTTGTTTTTTGAGGACAGGTCAGGCTAAAAATAAAACATTCTGTCAAATTTAATTATTGAAGCGCAAGTTGCAGTTTTTTTTTAAAAATCTCTTTGTTTTAGGAAATCTGATTGGCTAAAGTCATAAATACTTCTATTTTTAGTAACATTTTATGTAAATATGTTTCAAAAAGATATCCTTTTTGCGAAGTTTTAATCAAATTAAAATGATTTTTTTTAAAAATACAACGTCATTCGCAGCCATTTAGAGGTTTATAATTGCTCGATAAAATTATTGTTAATTATTTTATTTTGCTCTAAATATATAAATAGATTATTCCATTAAACCGTTTTAGAACGACTCTAATCCATTGTTTGTGGGAGCTTTACATTTTCCGAGAAAGGGTGGTAAGTGACAGAAATGTCCCATGCGTCATTTTTAAAAGCATTGGCCGAAATAGAACGCGGAGTGATGCTTGTGCATGCGTACATTAATTGATGAGCTGACACGTGACAAAGGTACGAGCCTCTAGAGAACCTCTGTAAATATTTGGGTCCAGGTGTGTTGGTGATACCTTTGTGATAATAGACTTTCCTGAAAATAGGTGTGTCAGGTTGTTGGTAGTATTGTGATAACATGTTTGGTGTAAGGGTTAGAAGTTATGGTTATGGTAAGACTTGGGTTAAGGTTTGGGTTAGGGATAGGATTAGGGTTAACATAAGCAAGTTTTTTTAGTTGTTTTTTTTTACTACAAATAGAAAAATTCCTTTTTTGAAGAGAATTGTATTATTTTGATAATATCAGACACTGGAACAACAAACAACCAAAAATAAAGACTAGCGGGATTTACTTTCCGTAACATAAATCAGATACCTGTCAAAGTTTATGTCCGGAATCCGAACTCAAGATTTCCGGTTTGGTCGTCCGGTACTTTACTACTAGACCATGCGCGCCAGTATTTGTAAAAGAATTGTATAATTTCTGACAGGTTAGCTTGTCGCCCTTCTTAGGACATAGCCCTACTGACAAGAGCTTTCCAGGCATCTCTTTCATTGGCTTGTCTCTCCAACTGTCCCCAGGTGTATCTAATCTTCTTGGTGTCTTCTTCCAGGTCACATCTCCAGGTCTTCTTTGGTCAATCTCTTTTTCTTTTGCTTAGTGGATTCCAGGTGAGGGCCTGTCTTTTTATGCTGGATACGGGTTTCCTGATAGTATGGCCAATCGTCTACATTTTCTCTGAAGGATCTCTTCTTCAGCTATCAGTTGATTTTTCCGTTGCCATAGTACCTCATTTCTGATGATATTTGGCCAGCTAACTCGTAGGATCTTCTTAAGACATGAGTTTATAAATGGCAGTAATTTCTTCATATTTGTTACGTCAATTCTCATTACCTCGAAAAGTTCAGTTTGTGGTGTGAAATCAGGGGAAGCAACAAAAACAACGAGATTTGTTTGCAACAAAAAGTGCACAAAAAGTGCCTAATCAAGTGCAACCAGTTACAGATTAGCTATCGTAATTCACAGCTAAAATAAAAGATAACTTTCCCACGTAAGTTTTAATGAATATCCTTACAAAAATATTGGAGAAAAAAATTCTTTTAAATTTAATTATTTTGATTAGTCTTGAACACCTTAAAAAATCTAAGGTAAAGTTCAAGTTACACTGTAGCTTTTTTTTTTTTGGAAAGAATAATCATTTATAAAATAATTAATACCCCCTTCCATACACAAAAATATGCCAAACTCATTTATGAAAGTAATTCAAACAGCGGTGGAGTAAAAAAAAAAGCGTTTCCACATTGGCTATTTTGTGTTGGTTTGCATTATATTTTTTTTAAACTTTTACTTTCTCTAATCGCTTGGCGTTGGTTTGTTTGGTTCTTTCGACTCCTCTCAACCGTCAGATTGGCAGCGCTGGCATTTCGCTGCCTGACGCATTCGTATCACGTGACAGGACGCGTCGACACCTGCTGTCTTAGTGTCAGATGACAGGACGTAAGAGCGCGCGCTGTGGTAGGTTTCATGACGCAGGGTCATCATACGACCCGACACGTGCGGGAGGTAGATGCGAACACGCACGCACCTGCGCTCACCCTTGCACATACACGGGTGTAATGTACATAGACATAGTTCTTTACTGAAACACGTATATACACTCGTATATAAGCCTATGCATATGCACGTATTGAAACAAACAAAAAACTCCACATATGCATAGTTCTTTACTGAAACACGTATACACACTCGTATATAAGCCTACGCATATGCACGTATTGAAAAAAAAACTCCACATATACATAGTTCACTGAAACACGTATATACACTCGTATATAAGCCTATGCATATGCACGTATTGAAACAAACAAAAAACTCCACATATGCATAGTTCTTTACTGAAACACGTATACACACTCGTATATAAGCCTACGCATATGCACGTATTGAAAAAAAACCTCCACATATGCATAGTTCACTGAAACACGTATATACACTCGTATATAAGCATAAGCATATGCGCGTATTGAAACAAACAAAAAACTCCACATATGCATAGTTCTTTACTGAAACACGTAAATACACTCGTATATGAGCAAATACACACGCACGTATTGAAATATAAACAAAAAAACTCCACCTATGCATAGTTCTTTACGGAAACACGAATATACACTCATATATAAACATATGCACATATACGTATTGAAACGGAAAATACACGTGCACTAATAAACAAGCTCAAATACACACGCACTCATGCACTGCACACACAAACGTGCACAAACACATTAACATTAGATTCATTATATATATATATATATATATATATATATATATATATATATATATATATATATATATATATATATATATATATATATATACACTCGACATTATAGATGTTTCCATTCCTTCTGTCTAGCCTTGAGAAAACTCGTTAAACTTAGTGCACTGTACCCGAACCTAGAGAACGTAGCAAATCCGCCTTGTTAAAGAACCATTCACTAAGCTACTAATAGTAAACGTGTTGATTTAGATTCTGTACATTCTTCTCTCCCTTCATGAACTTGTATCTCTTTCCCAACTCTTCGCTCTTACAGTGACTCTAATTACCAATGGTGTGGTCATTAGTTAAGATTTATTGGTTTCTACAAGTAACGACAACTCCATTACTGAAGACTAGAGCGACCTTACTGTATTAGAGACGTAAGTTCGGTGTTAAATAGACCCTAAGTTGAATAGACCAAAGCTTAAACTCTGTTGAAGTGCAGAGTTTCTTCCAGGCAGCCCCCCCCCCCCGAAATTAATTTTGCCGCCCCCCCCCCCCCCCCGAACGAAATGAAATTTATATAATTTATATAGAAAATATATACTTTTAACAGTGTCCGCCCCCCCCCCCCCCCCGAAGAAAGTCTACCCCCCCCCCCCCCCCGAAAATTTCTCCCCCCGGAGAAAAAAGTCTGGAAGAAACTCTGTTGAAGTGATTTTTTGACGACTTACTGTTATATTATTGTTTACAATATTGAAATAGTTTATGAATTGTTGGTCTTTTAGTAATATTTTAAGCTTTATAAACGCATGTTTAAGTATTTTAAAAAACAATTTTTTTCCTATTTTTTAAAGAGATCGTTTAGTTAATAAAGCGTGCATGCAGAGTTTTTTGTTTTTTATTTATGTTATGGACAAAATTTTGTAAAGACATGTTTGTCAACAATCTGTAGAAGGGTAAAACTGTGTAAGGTTTAAAATCTACTGAAGTGAATAATTTTGTAAAGAAATGGTTTTGTAAAACCTGGAAAAGGAATAGTTTCCCAAAGCAATATTTCTGTAACACCAAGTCAGATAATACACAACTAAAAGTATGAGTAAAATGAACGACACTACTTAGAGAAAACCGTAACTTTCTGCCATCGATACAGAAATGTGTATCCTGTAAACCAAACATGCCACCCAATGAACACAAAATATAGGTTCATGACGACAAGTTATGGCTGCCTGCTTAAAATAGTCGCCGTTTCTCTAGCCAAATGCGCACACAACAATACATGATGTGTTAAGAATTAATGAACTTTGTAAAAAAGAAAGTAGCTTTATACTGTGTACTAGATGTTTAACATTTATATCAGTTTTTTTAATTCTCACTTTACTGAGCTCTTTTATTTTAATTAACGTATGTAAATAGACCAGACGATAACACAATAATATCTAATTCTCAAATACGTTTAAAATATAAATTTAATAAATTTAGAGAACAAGTCAATATTTGCCTAAGACTTCAATGTTTGCTGACAAAAAATGGACTGAGAGTTCAGCTGCACAACAGACAGGTGATGCAGAAAGTTAAAAGATTACATAAATCTTAGACATATGATAAAATGAGGTGAGAATTTACCTGAATCTAGTGGCGTAGGCAGATCATGGGTGTTGGTGGGGGAAGGTTCAAACATTTATGCTAATGTATGTATATATATATATATATATATATATATATATATATATATATATATATATATATATATGTGTTAATACATTTAAATATATATTTACATATATATATATATATATATATATATATATATATATATATGTATATATATATATATAATTATATATATATATATATATATATATATATATATATATATATATATATATATATATATATATATATATATATATATATATATATATACATACATACATACATACATATATATATATATATATATATATATATATATATATATATATATATATATATATATATATATATATATATATATATTATAAAAAACAGTCGAACCGAAAGCTACAAGTCAACGTGCCACTACTCTCATTGTGGGGGACATTGGAGGGTAATAACGCCCCGTCTCTCCACCCCACCCCCACCCCCCCCCCCCCCACCTCTGCCTACACCAGTGCCTAAATCTAAGACAGGGGTGACAGAATGAACTTTAAAAAAAAAAAACTCACCTGAACCGGAGACTGGCGTGGAGAGTGTGGCGAGGTATAAACACGAAATAAGAGCAAAGCTAGCAACTATCGTCAGCTCCATGTTTTCCTTGCTTCCAAGACTTGTGCCACGGAAAAACAAAAAACTTCAAAGTTCTTTCAAACACGTCACTTTTTGTTGTGTTCTCAGGAACAAATCCAGGAAAGTCCAATCTCTTCTCGCTACAAATCCTACGATTTTCTAATGTGAAATTATAAAGAAAAATAATTGTTCGTTCTAAATTTCAGCTAAAATTGTAATCAACTATATCTAAACTAATCTTCTTGTGTTATTTTGGAATTTGTTTAGAAATCAACCTTTAGATGGACTTTAAAATACTCTGTCGTGTATCAAGTTGATGAATACCTAAAATATAAAGAATAAAAATAATTAATTATATACTACAGTTATATGCTGAAAGAAAAATATGTAGATAATTATTCAACACCAGATATACTAAAGGAAAGTGGAGAGAATTTAGTTTTTTTTATATTAAACACAAAAAATAATGCATATAATGTCGATGCTAGAATTTACAATATGCATGAAAGACTGGTTCTAAATGGTTCCAAATTGTTGTTGCCAGACATAATATTTTTCAACCACAATTGAATGTTTTATAACATTTGTGTATAAAGTATAAAATAACTTCCGGTTTCATTAAGCCCGGAAATAGTCAAAGAAATAATTACTTGTAATTTAGCAAAAACTTTTATATTTAATTTGGATTAGTAGATTTAGGGTGTTGTGGTGATTGGGGATGTTATATTATTTTATATAAATACAATACTACGTTATACACCATAGATCACTATTGTGTATTTTTATCATGGGAAACAATTGTTCTGACTTTTATTGTTTCACTCTCCTTGGCCATTCCGGTTGACTTTAAGGAGAGGTTGAAGGCAGTTTTTAAAACTATTGAATTGATACAATGATTCTAAACGATTTTTTATCGGCCTATATTCGACACAAAAATATAAAAATGAGTGCAATCGATTGTTCCCAAACGGCTTTAATTTTTACAAATGTAAACATAATTTTATCGTTTGCCATATGTTTTAAAAGTTTTTATCAAAAATTTAGTATGATTACATAGATTTTTTATGCCTTTTCTCAATTTATTTTTGTAACATACTCAATAAAGCTGGATAAACTCGTGCAAGCACTGTTTCATATCCAACATTCAAACTCGACATTGTTTACAAACATAAAGGGCGAGATCCGAACTTAAGACTTCCGGGTTAGTTGGTGAACACTCTACTGTCGGTCAAGGTATCCAATCAAATCAACATTAAAATTACCGTACGTCTCTTCATATGTATATAGAGGACATTTCATGAAATCTCTTTAAAATTGTATTACACTTCCTTCATATTGTGTCTATAGTAAACATTACATGAAGTCTCTTTATATTTGTGTTGCACTCTCTCTTCTATAGTTAACATTACATGAATGTCTGTTTAAAATTGTGTTCATTTCTCTTCAAATATCTATAGTTAACATTACATGAAAGCCTCTTTCAAATTGTTTTACTCTTCAAATGTCTATAGTGAACATTACATGTATGTCTCTTTAAAATTGTGTTCGTTTGTTTTCAAATTTCTATAGTTAACATTACATGAAAGTCTCTTTAAAATTATGTTCCTTTCTCTTCAAATATCTATAGTTAACATTACATGAAAGCCTCTTTAAAATTGTGTTAAACATAATTGATTTCTTATTTCGCCATAACATGAACATCTTCAAGCTACACTTTTCATTTTGCCAAGACTTAATTTGAATCCCGAGATTTTCAAGATTTCCTAACAGCTGACAGATATTTTTTTTTCTACTTTAGAAAAAGACACAAAATTAAGATTTTTTTTGGTGTAAATTTCTTTTTTTTTTAAATAACGTGAGTTATCGACTTTTTTTTTTATTACTTTTTAATAACTCTCATTAACTTGTTGTCGATCTCAGAATTAATAGATTATGACACTAGTCATAAAACAAGCAGGATTCCACTCTCGTCTGGCTCCTAATCGTTAAAAGAACAAAATTATGCTCAGTTTTTCAGCATGTCGTGTTTAATTATAACGCACTGAACAACAAATTATCTTCTATAAGTTTAAAGCAGTCATTGAAACACAATTCATTCCACTACTAGTGTAAAAGTGTTAAAATGTTTATCTTAGATTTGTTAGTTTAGAAAAGAGAGTTCAATTATTTTTTTTTAAATAGGAAAACGCAACCGGAAAATGTCAAAACAACCAGATTTATCTCCCTTTCGTTCCCACCGGAATTACAATTAATACTGAAGATGGAATCAAATCCGCGAGTCAAGAAAATATCCCATATTTTTTTTTTTGGCTCAAATTTTATATAAAATTTTTATATTTTCGAACATGGTAATTGTTTAAAATTACTCTTTACTCCAAAAAAAAGTGTATTTACACATATTTTTCAGCCTCCCTAACATCCGCGTGGGATATTAAAGCCTTCCGCTATGTGAAGCCTCCAGGCTTTTGCTGTGCAATGGAAAAAAAAAATCCCCAGCGTGTTTGGATTAACTCGTTTTGCCCCCTCTCACTTTCATTTAATTCTCTCCCCTGAGTTGCTCTTCATTCCTTCCCCCTACCCCCATTCATTCATCTCGGTGTCCGTGAGTTAAAAATATCGAAAAGCCAATACATCATAATTGTGATATTGTTTTAGTATTATCAAGCTATTTCAAGAGTTGTTTTTAAATTAATGTAGCCACCTTTAAAAATGACATTTTATATTACCTCACCGCTTCTATATTTGGCACCTCTATATTCACGTGTATGGCCGTGTGATAGCACTTCATTTAATATTTCCTGTTTTAGCTACGAGTGTTTCTTTCAGACTTTTTTATCCGGGGGAGGGTGGTCATTTGAAACTTTGGGGGGTGGGCACTGGTACAAGTATATATGGTCTAATTTTTTTTTCAAATAAATTGTATTTCGTTTGAGGGGAGGGGGTGGGTGCTAGACGTTCTTAGGGGGTAGGGGAGGTAGTTCCCCCTCGAAAAAATGTCTGAAAGAAACTCTATCAGCTACCCTTACACGAACCCTGCCATTGATTGCGCAGAAACCTTGACTTCAATATCTGCCTCAGCTTGTACTATATACACGATACAGTCAGGAACAGTGGCGTAGCAAGGTCGGGTGTCACCCGGTGGGGCACTTAATGGTGTCACCCCCAGAGGCGCAGCGACCCTTCCCGGGGACAATTTGCACCCCCCCCCTCAAACTTTTGATTTGCACCCCTCCCCTCAAAGTTTTCTCTATATATTTTGCTATTTTTTGCCTTGGTGTCACCCCCTTAAATGGTGTAAACCGGTGCGGTCCGCACCCCCCGCCCCCCCCCCCCTCGCTACGCCTCTGGTCAGGAATGAAAACATCAATTTGACACTGTATATTATAGTAACAAAAATAGTGTGCAGATTTTGCATATATATTTTTCACAGGACCACTATATAGAAGATGTGGAAAAAAATAAATACAAGTAGAGTTACAGCATATAGGTTGCAATTTAAATTGTATTGATATGTCATACGTAACCATCAAACTGTGCGGGTTACGAATCTTTCACAAGTAACAATTGCTCAATCTACGAATCTTTCAAAAGTAGCAACGGCACGGTCCGCGAATCTTTTACAAGTAACAATTGCACCGTCTACGAATCTTTCACAAGTAACAACTGCGTTGTCTATGAATATATCCCTTCATTAGTAAAAAGATAATTTTTTGCGTAAAATTAGTATGTTATATAAATTAGGGTATAAAATACATCTTATAATAAAAATGTTTTTAAATTGACTAGTTTTCTTTGAAAATGTATTTTAAGAGATCCCTTTGAAATCTATAACGAGTGTGTTTTATGTGCCTCGATTGTGAAGGCTACTACCAACTGTATGCTAGCTTTTTGTCAATAGGCAGCCTAACTCAATGCTAGCCTTTTGACAATAGATAGTCTAACACAATGCTAAACTTTTGTCAATAGACAGCCTAAATCAATGCTAGACTTTTGTCAATAGACATTCTAACTCAATGCTAGCCTTTTGTCAATAGACATTCTAATTCAATGCTAGCATTGTGACAATGGGCAGTCTAACTCAATGCTAGCCTTTTGACAATAGACAGTCTAACTCAAGGCTAGGCTTGTGTCAATAGACATGTTAACTTAATGCTCGCCTTGTGACAATGGGCAGTCCAACTGACCATTTGTCCAAAGAGAAGCTAACAAATGACCTGTGACGTCAAATTATCGCCTTTAACCAGGTGTGTTGTCTGAGCACGTGCATATCGTTAGCCCGCTGCCGACGGATGATTAATTAATGCTATTTAATTAACGTTAGAAAAAGTTCTATCGAGGGATTATCTCCGCGTGAACAATGCAGGACACGTTAACCCTAACGCTAACCTATTAGAATAGGACATCCCTGTCTGAACATCTACTGCTACCCCCCTCGCAAAAAACTGTATATATATATATATATATATATATATATATATATATATATATATATATATATATATATTTATATTTATATTATATATAGGTATGAATTTATATTTTATATATACTTTTGTACATATATACATATACATACATATATATATATATATATATATATATATATATATATATATATATATATATATATATATATTTATTTATTTATTTATTTATTTATATATACATGTAATGTGTTAAAACCATAGTCATTTGGTATCAATCCATGCCGTATGGCGTCGCCTGTGCCTAGTGCCTACGATAATTGTAACCTTAATAGGTTGTTGAACAAATTGGTAAAGTAGACTTTCTCTTTTAAATTTGCTCTATATCGTTTCGCTGTCTCCGAGTGTGGTCCGCACCCTGTCCACCCCACCCTACCAGGGCAACTAGCTACTGATCAACTGAAACACGCCAATCTTCTGAATTAGACATAACCTTCTAGACATCCAAAAAAAACCGGTGACCCTAACACTAATCTACTAAATATGACATAACCGATTAAAACTTAAACTAAAACAAAGTAAACCTAATACTAACCTTTCACAACGAACTATACCATCTACCACCAAGTGATATCAATTCACCCGTTAAATCTGTATACACGAAACCAATCGGCCACTATTTTCATATAGTTTTTAAAGTTTTCCGGTGGAATATCGTAATGTAGTTTTTTTTTTTTTTTTTTTTTTTTTTTTTTTTAAATCCATTCTTAAATCATCGGCAATGAAAGTTGTAAAGTATTCATTTAGGAGGGCACGTCTATCCTAATTGAACTTTGTCTCAAAGATACGCATTTTTTTAGTACATTGCATTACATACGGTTATGTGGGTGAAAAATCCCTTCAAAAACGAAGTAGACGTTCCTTTGGGCAGGTGGAGTAGAATTCGACTGTTTTCTCAAGCTCCGTCTATTTAAATGATTGCGTGAAAGAGCTGCCATTACTTTCCCTGAATCGAGTCGGGTGCTGATAAGCGCTGGGTTGGACTCAGGAAGTCTTACCGATTAGAGCAAATTTTTTTTTTTTCAAATTTGAACTTGTTATTTTTCTTTCTAGTAAAAGTAAGATCCCTTTTAGAGTAGCTGCGGTAGAGTTTATCTGAATTCATCTAAAACTGTTTGTATGTTTAGGACTATGTATAGCCGCATTGTAAAAACAGGGCAAATGTACGCATCACATTTGATTTGAGAACATCCAAATGATGCAAAAAAACTGTAACATAATGTGTCTACCTTTGGCGTTGGAATATCACTTTCTGTTTATTTAGCTACAACATGGAACCGAACACGAGACGGGTTGGTAGTTGTTTGCCCTAGCACGCGATCATGCCGATACCACATACTACATAAGCAAAGTAGATTGGGGAAGTTGATAGTTTAATCTTTACCAAATATTTTGGATCGCATAAAGAAAGCAAATTCTGCATGTATTGCTGGTAACTCGCATATTAGAAATAATGTTAAGCATATGTCACGGCGTGGCCTAGCGGTAGAGCGCTAGACTGCTAAAAGTCTCGAGTTCGAATCCAAATTCAAGTCCCTGAGTCCACCCAGCTCTGATGGTTACCTAACTAAAGTGAGGGAAAGTAAAGTCGGCTGCGCATTATCTCTTCATATGCCGAGGTCACAGAAACAGGTGAACTCTACTTCACTTGCCCCGTGGACCTGTAGGTTCAAAAACGGAACTTGAATTTTACTTCTTATATCTTAAGCTAGGACCAGATATCGTGTTTGATGGAGGGATATAAGTAACAAACAGTAACAAACTTGCGTCAATTCGCACAACTGCTTTACTAAAAACGTGGTCTTGTTTCACCTATTCGGTGTTGTAAGCCTAGCCTGTTTTTCTTTGTTTAGCTCTCCGACGTAAGGCCGAATTTACAATTTATAACCAAGATCTAGCAGTACCATCGCATTTATAACCTAATAGATCAAACTATTGCAGAAATTTATAACCCACTAGATGCAACCATTTCACAAATTTATAACCCACTAGATCTAACTATTGCAGAAATGTATAGTAATGATCTAATTATAGATTAAAATTTATAACCCACTTGATCGAATTATTGCAGCCATTTATAATTCGCTAGATCTAACCATTTCACAAATTTAAAGCCGACTAGATCTAACTATTGCAGAAATGTATAGTAATGATCTAATTATAGATTAAAATTTATAAACCACTAGATCTAATTATTGCAGACATTTATAACGCTTAGTTCTAACTATTGCAGAAATGTTTTAGTCAAGTGATCTAATTATAGATTAAAATAAAATAACCTACTAGATCAAATTATTGTAGAAATCTATAACCCACTAGATCTAACTATTGCAGACATTTATATTCACGTAGATCATTTAATCCAAATATGGCTGACACTTTACATCCCATTAGATCTAACCTTACTTAGAAATTACTAACTGTATATCATATTCCCCCAACTTTTTCCTTCATCCGAACTATTATGATCGACATATCTTGTAAACTTAACATCCCACTTAAATAATTAACTTTGAATTGAAGCACTATAATAAAATAGAAAATTAAAAACACGGACATTTTTTTAAAACGGAACAAAATTTAAAACGCTAATTTTTTAAAATTTATTATCTAAAGATTTACTTCAAGTTATCGTTCTAACATAAAGCAGAAAATTCACTCTTGCTGCGTATCATTTTTTAGAAAAAGAATATAAAATTATATAAACGTTATGATAAAATTATATAAACATTATGAGGTATATTCAATACCACACTTGGGATTTACCTAGGTCATTGATTAGCTAAGTAATCAATAAATACAGATGTCACTCAACCAGACTCCCATATATTCCACTACGAATAGTTTCATCACGTAATTAAACGTATGATCTCATAAAGTTATTTTTTAAAAAAATCGTTTGAACGTATACAGCGATATTAGAAAATAAACTTCGTTTTAAAGCTTGAGGGTTGATCTGTATGCCGCATACTTAAATAATTTGGAAAAAAAATGTTTAAGATAAAAGTAACGTGATAAGATTAAAAGTGGACTACGTTTAGTAAGACAGTTAATACGCTCATCCAACAGATAAATCAGTATATACTTAATTTTGAAAATACGTTGATAAACAGCCTTTATTAAAATAAATTCTCCTAAAGCAGCAATGCGATCAGTTATATTATAATATTTTAAATTCATGTTTTTTAATTTTTTAAAATTGTCGTTAATATATTTTTAGGCTTAGAAAATACAATTAGTTCTGTGAACGTGTGAATTTGATTGATATGTCACGTTTTTTAAAACTAGATGGCCAAGAAATAATTTTAATTTTTGGAACTACAAGTATAACTTTATTCAATTAACTACTTATAAATTCTAACACTATTTAAAGTAACTTTTAGTTACAAAAACTAAACTTTATAAAATATACTTACGCCCAATTTAAGAAAAATATTTTAAAATACACAACTTACAGAAAGTGTATGAAGTTTCAAAAATGTTTAAAGTTGAAAATTTAGTCCTTATATTTCCTTGTACTGATGGACGAATGAAAATTTTGGATTGTTCAAAAAATTTTGCAGCGCGTTGTTTGCAGCTACCGGAGTGGCTTCCCCTAACCCTATAATAATGAGTCCATCCACACTGTTAGCCGTGGTCTTTATATCCTGTCGCCACCCCCGAGCGATGCGTGGCGCCCCCACTTCTTCTGTCCCCTCCTGGCGGGTGTTGTTTTTTTTCCCCTCCCCTCTACCAACTTTTGCTACTCCTTGTTCTAATTCCTGTGCGGGGTGTCGCTTCGCTTGATTTCCGCCGACTTCAAAGACGAACGAATTTGTTTCCTTTATTTAAAAGAATTACTTCTGTTTTACATTAAGATAATTATTTCGTCACTTTTCCACGTAAAACATCAACTACACAAGCACTTATCGTCAAGTCACTTACACATAAAATAGATAATATGAGAGTGAGTATTTTAACTATTGTGTGGACAGGATTGAATAACACGGTAATATTAGCGTTGTGCGCGTGAAAACTGTACAGGATTGTCTTGTTGCGCCGTGTGGGACGGGAGTGTGGGGTGGGGGGAGGGGGGGGGGTGGAGAGCGTGCGCAGTCAATCGATGTACCCGTGGGATTTTTTTGCTACGTGGTCGGTTACACTTACATGTTAAGTCTCTCGCTTACATAACTGTGTAACTTGACGCTTACACGACTGTCTAACTTGACACTTACATAGCTGTCTAACTTGACGCTTGCATGGTTATCTATCTTGACGCTTACATAGCTCTCTAACTTGACACTTACATAGCTGTCTAACTTGACGCTTACATAGTTATCTATCTTGACGCTTACATAGCTCTCTAACTTGACACTTACGTAACTGTCTAACTTGACGCTTACATAGTTATCTATCTTGACGCTTACATAGCTCTCTAACTTGACACTTACATAGCTGTCTAACTTGACGCTTACATAGTTATCTATCTTGACGCTTACATAGCTCTCGAAATTGACGCTTACACATAGTCTTACATAATTGCCTAACTTAACGTTTGCATGGTTGTCTCGCGTTATGCTTACATGAATGCCTCACTTTAAGCTTTTATGACTGTCTCATTTGCGCCGACAAAGCCATCTAATTTAACGCTTACATAGATGTCTGACGTAACAATTACATTACATTAAATGTAATGAAAATGAGACAACTATACCGAACAACTTAAAACTTTAAGAAAATAATGTCTGTAAAATTACTTTAGATTTAAATGACAGTATTTAATTTTCAGATTACACTATTAATTTTAGACGAGCCGACCCGCGGCATATCATACGCCGCTATTTAGTTGTTTTTTTTTCTACTTTTCAGTAATTTATAATTTGTGAATTCGACAGTATCAATGCTGCCACTGAAAATATTTGCTTAAAAACACTAAACCCCCCCCCTCCCCCCCCCCCCCCACGTGAAAGCAGCCTCCTCTTAGTTACCTTCTCTAAGTTTAAAATCGTTTCAAACTAAATTATCTGCCCCTGATAGCCGTCACCAAACCCGTCTCTATGATTGTAAAATGTAAACAGCGTGACCACAGATCACCAGACAATGTGGGGGTGGGGTGGGGGTGGTAGTGATAGTGATAGAGAGAAAGAGAAAGAGAGGGGACTGCAAGGAGGCGCTTGCAGCTTGTTTTCTAACGGCTCCCAGAAGAGAATTATATATATAGATTATAATAATCTTACTTCAAGATAATGTTATTTTAGATTTTTAAAATGTTCAACCACTAAGGGGCGTCGTCATTCATTAGTTACGCAATTAAAATTATATATTACTTTGGGAGTCGGCGTGGTCTGGTATGTAACGCGCATGGTTGCTAAACTCAATAAGCCCCGAGTTCGAACCCGATGAGGTTCAATAGCTAGGGACAACAACTATCTAGGAGAGACAACTCCTTAATCAAAAAATTGCGCCTTGCAGTTTGTTTTTGGTTTGACAAAGGCTATGGAAGCAAATCCAAAAAGAAAAGCAGGCTGAAATAGAAGTTAGCGAGCCGTATACGTATAGCCCCCCCCCCCCCCCCCCCCGGAAAATTTTTTACCGTCCCCTCGAAGGAAACGAAATTTTTATAATTTATATAGAAAATATATACTTTTAACAGTGTCCGTCCCCCCGAAGAAAGTCTACCGCCCCCCCCCCCCCCGAAAATTTCAAGTGCCCCCCCCCCACCCCCCGGAGAAAAAAGTCTGGAAGAAACACTGTTTAGTAGTGTTGGAGGGGATCCCTTTTATCATGACGACAAAGTACAAAGAATATTATCTGACAACTTTTAAACATAAGTCACATAAACGTGATAAGTATCGTGTATTTATTTATTTCAAATTTTATAAATCTCGCGCTAAACTCATTTTATGAACATTTTAATAAAGCATGTTCAGTTTGTTTAACTGAATTAAAAAAAACACCAGCAAAAATATCGTCCAGTTGAAAATAGAAAATAGAAAATAAAAAATAGAAAAGTAAACTTGAGAGATTCAGAACATTTAAAAGTCATAAAGGTTGATAGAATGGATGAGCAATTTCGCTTCGTAATAACGTCCATTTCATGTTCTCTCTTTCAAGTAGCACGACTTAAAGATTTGACGTCAAGAAAAACTGTTCACAGAATTCGGTTTGTTAAAGGCCGTTTATGTACAAGTGTGTGAAGATGCCGTTTATGTACAAGTGTGTGAAGATGCAGTTTATGTACAAGTGTGTGAAGATGCCGTTTATGTACAACTGTGTGAAAGAGGCGGATAGGTTTATATTGGAGATATCTAGATGATACAGACATATTAACGTACAGTAGGCCTATTCTACCCCCCCCCCTCCCCAAATAAACATATAAATACTCATGCATATATATATATATATATATATATATATATATATATATATATATATATATATATATATATATATATATATATATATATATATATATATATATATATATATATATATATATATATAGTTTATTTATATGTCATATATGTAAAGCCAGAATAACTGATGGTACTGTTCAATTACTCACGACGAGATAGGAGAGGATAAGGCTTTACCCTGGGGTATATCGGGATATCATCAAAGGAAACGATAATGTTTATAGATAACACAGGCATTCGTTAGTTTGGCAAGCTGTCTCGGAGAGTAATGGCCGGATAAAACTAAGCCCCATACTCACATATATATATATATATATATATATATATATATATATATATATATATATATATATATATATATATGTACACACATCAATCATACATTCAACGTATATATATATATATACATATATATATATATATATATATATATATATATATATATATATATATATATATGTATGTATATATATATATATATGTGTGTGTTATATAATATGTTTATATATATACATTTATATCTACACATGTGTGTATATGAATATATATACATATGATTATATGTATATATAGATTTATATATGTATGTATTGTATATATATGTATACATATATGTATATAATGTCTCTCTCTCTCTATATATAAATATTGTATGTATATACATATAGACATTTTTTTAATTTATATATATATATATATATATATATATATATATATATATATATATATATATATATATATATATTGTGTAGATGTCTGTGGGTATTGAATAATGTTGCTCATCATTTTTGTTCCCTTTCTTCTGTCAGAAGTAGCTGAAGTTTCTTTATAAAATACATTCACATAACATGCCCACACACAAATGCTATACCAATATTATTGTCTTCACTTAACGCATTGTCTCCCTTGTGTTTTGGCTATTTCCACGGACCTGATCTCGTTATTCGTTTAGTGGAGAGATCCAAAATATTTTTTTAACTCACCCACACAGAGTTCTGTCGTGATCCTTTTGTTAGCAAGGGATGGTGAAAATGTTAAAAAAATATTACCATTCAAAAGAATCGCACAGAAGCATAGACGTACTTTCAATTCGTAAATCCACGAATACACAACGATAAAATGACAAATAAAACTTCGTTGAAATTGTAACTAGTTTTGAATTATATTTAAAGAAAAAGTAAACAGAATTCGCCAGTTCGCCTAAAATGGATTAAACCTTAAACCCCACCCCGGCCGGAGAATTAATTAGAAACTTAGGAACGTCCATGACGTCAGCGGAACAGGATGACGTCACACACCCGGTGCATGAGTTAGTGGGTGGGGGAGTGGGTGTGACACCGGTTCCTATCTGCCCCGTCACGTGACTCAGTCACGAAAAAAAACCAATCGATCAGACATTCAGATCAATCATCACAATCGATACGCTGTTTCATTATGAATGCACTGAAATCCCGCGTTAATTGTTGCATGTTTTCATCCGGGTTTCCCCGCTAGATGTGTAAGGTTAAATTAAAGGACGTTTAAAGTAATAATCTTATAGAGAATATTTTAAAATTTACTTTCTTATTTATTTAAATTAAAAAAAAATTAGAGTTACCTTTCCTGAAATTTTGATCCACTAGGCAGATGAAGTAGAGCTCACCTGTTTCTGTAACCTCGGTAAATTATATTATTTTGTTGTTAGCATTATAAGAGGCTACCTTTACTACCCAACATGAGTCAAGTACTCATTTATATAGGGTTTTTAACCTGGGTTCAATCGAACCCTAAGCGTTACGTGAGTCAGTCGCAGGGGTTCGGTGAAGGTCAAGACATACACCCGACTCAATAATTCGCGATCGGAGTATATCAGAGATGACGATAGAACTATTTAAGACGAGTAAATGTAGTAGAAGGCCCTGCGTCTGAAATTTATTGTGTGCCGTTAATTCCTATTTCAGCTTTCTTTTTAAGACTTAGCTTCCATAGCCTTTGTCCATCCAAGAACAATTTTTAAGGCAGCAGTTGTTTTATTTTGGGGTTTTCTCTCGTACATGTTTTGCTGTCCTTGGCTATAGAACCTCCGCTGATCTGAGTTTCGAACTTCGTACCAAGCAGTGCATTTCTTTGTTATACTCTACCATCAATATCAGTGGGGAAAAAAACACGAAGAAAAAAAATACAATTAATTCAATAGTTGTACATTGTATTTCCTTCGTTGCCTCCACACCAATGTATTTTAATTTATCAAATAGCTAATCATCCACATCACAAATACAAACACACAATCCCCCCCCCCCCCCCTCCCACACCCATGCTCCCCTAAGGCCCTACTACCGAAATTCGTCCATCCACATGAAACCACTAACAACAACAAGACCTAACTTCTATTTGCAAACACAACAGATCTAGCTCGTAAGCTCACATCACCTCCGGTAACTCACTCCGCCAAATATAATTAACCAGGTCCGTTAACCCGGCCTAAGGGCAGGTAATTCATCCGCCAGAATAGCCGCGCAGTCACTGGGATTGATTCAGCGATGATACAGAGAACTCATTTCGACAATCGTGAACACAATTTCACAAATACTAAGTTTAGCATTAATTTGGTGCCGAGTAAGTTCAGTCAATAAATAAATTT